GTACAGGACCACAACCCAGAGATGGCACAGAAATAAGCCCGGTCCCTGTGCATGGGTCAGGGACTCCTTACTTCTTACAGAAAACTGTCTCTGTCTATGGTACAACTCTATCTGAACTGTCCTTCTCCTGTAATCAGATTGATGACTACCCTAATTGTCATCATAGAACATTGATCCAGTAACTAATGAGAGCAAATGCAAAGGAGAGATCCACAGCCAAGCATTGGGCCAAGCTTCCAGAGTCCTGTCAAAGAGAGGGAGGAAGGGTTATATGGGATGGGGGAAGGTGAAGATCATGATGGAGAAGCCCACAGAAGACAGCTGACCCAAGCTAATGGGAACTCATGGACTCTGGACTGACAGCTGAGGAGCCTGCATGGGACAGAACTATACCTCTTCATGCAGGTGACGTGTGTGGCGTGGTCTGTTTGTGGTGCCCCTGGCAGTGGGACCAGAATTTATCCCTGGTGCAGGAACTGTGTTTTTTGTTTTTTTTGGAACCCATTCCCTATAGTGGGATACCTTGCTCAATCTTAATGCAGAGAGGAAGGCTTGGTCCTGCCTCAACTTGATGTGTCAGTCTTTGTTGACTACCCATGGGAGGCCTTACCCTCCTCTCTGAGGAGTGGATGGTGTGTGGGAGATGGGGAGCAAGAGGAGGGGAGGGAGAAAAGGGAAGGGAGAAAGGGGGAACTGTGATTGATAAATACAATGAATAAAAATTTTAAAAACCTATCTTCTTCACTACTATATTTCCATTATTTAATGTGCAATTTCAATTTACTGGGTAACTTAGTCCTGCCCTATTCTCATGTCTCCCCATTTGTGGGATTTTGTAAAGTACACAGATTATCCTTTATTGGCAGTCTTCCTGCCTCAGCCTCCTAAGCTCTGGATTTATCTTAGGTTGTTTGACCGTATTCTTTGCCTTAATCAGAATCAGAATCAGAAATCAGATAATCAGAAATACACCAGTTTTTCTGGGTGGTAAGGAGACTAGAAAGATAAATGAAGACCATTAAAAGAAATAGAGGGTAAAGGGGATGTGCATGGCTTTCTCTGTAAAGCAATATTAACATGAAGATATTCAAAGTCCTACTAAGATAGTTGCCACAATACTGATTTAAAAAAAAAAGATGATCTTATGAGTACGAAGAATCCTTTTCTCCTTAGCTATCCTAGTGCTTGCTCAATAAGACCACAGCAAGGTGGTCAGGGAGGCAGGGACATAAACCACCTATAACTTCAGCAACACTGATTTCTCTTTATTGAAGGTGGTATGGCTAATGTTACTGAGTGTTGAATCTAACAGCAAAAGCCAGTACTGAAAACTTAGTAAAACATTATTTCTCTTGGGAATCTAGTGAAAGGCAGATTAAATAGAACTTTTTATGATAAGGGAATACAGATCCAATTTTACTGAGTAGGCAGTATTGGAAAATCAAGGCATCAAGTAGGAATTGACCCAGTCAACATCATTCCAATTGCCTATTTATAGACTTTCAAAATTCTCACCTTAGAAACTTTGAAATTTGTTAGCTTATAGACATTAGTACTGATGAGAAGCCCATGTTTTAAACAAGGGATACAAAAGTTGTTCTTATATCCCAACATTTACAAGGCAGAGGCAGGAAGATCAGCTTAGAGTCAAGCAGCACTACTAGTAAGTTCCAGGACAGACTGGGCTAGATAGCAAGACCCTAACTAAATACACACACACACACACACACACACAAATCAACAAAGGATCATATCTTATTAGTCAGAAAAATTCATATAAAATATATAAACACAGCTGGGCGATGGTGGCATATGGCTTTAATCTCAGCACTTGGGAGGCAGAGGCAGGCAGATCTTTGTGAGTTCGAGGCCAGCCTGGTCCTCAAGAGTTAGTTTCAGGACAGGCTCCAAAGCTACAGAGAAACCCTGTCTCAAAATAAAGCAAACAAAAAAATGTATAAACATGATATAATTACATTTCATGAAATTCTTCTTTTAATTTTTTTGCACTGAATTTTACTTAAATGATTTAACAGTAGTCAGAAATACTTCAGCTTCTTAGCATATCTTGCATCGAAATAGTGATGGAAGTAGTTTCAAATCCTAGCATGGACAATGGTGACTCTACAATTAAGAATAAAAGTAGTTCTGGGAAACAAAGGTCTTTTCTAGCAATACTGACAATCAGTCATGATTAGATTGTTTTAGGAAAAAGATAACTTTTGTGTGGCTTCAAATGAGCTTACAGTTTTTAGGGTGTTATTTTTCAAGACAGGCTTTCGCCATATAGCTCTAGCTGTCCTGGAGCCTACTATATAGACCAGATTGACCTCAAACTCAGAGATTCACCTGACTCTGCCTCGAGGATGTCGGGATTAAAGGTGTGTGCCATCACAATTGGCTGACAATTCTGTTCTGACAGAAAAACATAATCATGTATTTTCTACAAGCAAAAGTTCTTAAATAACGTTTTATGTATATATGTATGTGTGCGTGTGTATGTATGATATTGTCCAAATAAGCTCCTTACATGAATGAAACCCATTTTATTATGTCCTTGAGATCAATTCAGATTGCTGAATAGTACCATTCATTAATTTCTTTTAGTTTTCTATTGTATCAAAATAAACAAACAAAAAGCTATAAACTCATTTGAAATCACACATAAAGTTATCTTTCTCCTCTTTCAAAAACAACCTAATTATGACTGATCATAAATATTTCTAGAGAAGACATTTATTTCTCATTATAAAATATTTGGTGTTTTATCAGTTTTGTGCCTAAAAAATATTTTATGAGCATTCACGAATTGATTTTTATGTAAATTAAGTTTTCAATTCTTAGGGCAAATATACAAATCTGGGTCATTTATTAAATCTATGTTTGTTATAAGAAAATATAAAAGTTTTCCAAATCCCTGTATCATTTTATATTCTCATCAGCAATACAGAAGAGAACCTGAGCCACATCTATGCCAAGACTTGGTATTAGCAGTATTTTTTATTTCACTATTCAAAAACAGTTGTGCATTTTACTACAGCCTAGTTTTACATTATTTTAATGGTTAATGACAAAGAAAATATTCGATTACTGGCTATCCACATACACTTCTTAATAAAGTCTCTTTTGTATTTTTTGGCAGTCATACCATTGAATAATTTTATTATTTTCAGCTTAGAGAATGTTTTAAATCTTTTTAAATACATCTCTTTTTATGGATGTGTGCTTTGAAATTTTTTTCTAGCCTCTAGTTTTATCTTTTCCATTTACCATGGTAGTTCACAAAGCAAACATTTTGGGTTTTATTGTCTACTCTGTCAAGTTGTTCTTTGTGAGTTACAATTTTGATAACTCTAGAAAATCCCTTCCCTTCTTTACTCTATCTTCTGGAGTCTTCTGGTATATGATTTATTTGTTCTGTCCAGGGGTCTCTGTTGTAATGCTATTATCAGGAAACAACAACAAAAATATTAGCAAGGATATGGAGAAAAGGTAACTACAGCCAAAACAGTGCTAACGACAAATGTGCTTACTCCATCTTGCTAGAATTCAAACCTAAAATGGGTTGTGTTTGGCTCATCTTGCTCAGAATTCATATTCTGCTACTTATTTCTAATGTATAACTATACCCATCTTATTCTCTACTCAGTGTCTAAATGGTTTCACTACTGTTTTTATTTATTTTGAATTTTGTTATCCTTAAAGGCCAACATACTGAAAGCCTGGTTCCTTACTGGTGATTCCACTCATTGAGAGTAAAGAGGATCATGAGAAGCTCTGGTTCACTTAATAGATTACCCACTGATGGATAATAAAGCCAGAGAAATGGGCCTGACTGAAGGAGTAAGTCATCGAAGGAGTGCCTTTGTGTAGTGTATCTTGTTTTTGACACCTTCCAATCTGCTTCTTTTTCCCTGTAATCTGCCATTTTCTTCCATTATATTCTTCCTAACAGTATGCATTACTATGCTCAGGCCCAGATGCAATGGAGAAAAGGGGACCATGAACTCAAAGTGCTACAATCTCCCTTTAGAAAATCTGTCTTTCTTTTAAGTTGTCTTGTCACAGAGATGCCAAGCAACTAACGTAAGTTTCTAATAAATTTTCAGTTAATTGCCAGACTAACACAGTGCTACATATGATACATTCTACTAAGTAGTGCAAGAAACCATTAATACAATGTCTTGGACTAAACCACTATTAGGATGATAAACAATAAAAGGACATTCTCAAGGCTTTTTAATCATTCAGTAAATACTTGTTTATAAAAGTATATGCAACTGATGAAACAGGTAAGACTCATGGTTATGGAACTTAAATTCTAATGATCATATCAGGGTAAAGGTGCCACATATCTTAATATATGAAAAATGTGTTCTGTTTAGGCTCAAAAAATCAATTTACTACATTCCAACTGATAATCAGAACATTCATTTAGAAACTGGTAGTATTTTTTATTACTTTAAAAAAATACCAATCCAAATTCCCACTCCCTCCTCTCCTCCCATCCCCTCCCTCTACACACCCTCTCATCCAACCTAAGAGAGGGTAAGACACTTTGCCTTGTGGAAAGTCCAAGGTCCTCCCCACTACATCTAGGCTGAGCAAGGTATACATCCAAAGAGAAGAGGATTCCCAAAAGCCAGTACATGCAGTAGAGACAAATCCCAGTGCTTCTCAGTGGCCCCTCAGCCTTCCCCAACTGTCAACCACATTCAGAGGGACTAGCTTGATCCTATGCTTGTTCATTCCCAGTCCAGTTGGAGTTGGAGAGCTCCCACTTAGCTCCCACTTAGCTCAGGCAAAGTGCCTCAATGGATGAACCAACTGGTAATACTTTAAAATTTCAAACTGAGAGACTGGCACCAAGGGTAGACTTTCTCTCTTGGTAAACAGAACTCAGAACTTTACTATTCATTAAATTCACATGAACTACATACCACATACAGCTGTTTCTATAGATAGACTGGCCCAATCCTGTAGAGTTGTGAACTACGTACCACATAAAGCTGTTTCCATAGACTGGCCCATTCCTGTAGAGTTGCTGTAACTTCTGTCACAATAGAATCTTCAAGTGGCACCACAGTTTCATACTGCCTAGAAACCAAAATCATCATAGTCACATTATCTTAGATAAAATTTTATATGGCATCTGAAATTTTTCAATGTCATAAACTCAAAATTTATAATCATGACAGTATACAATGGTGTAACTGGAATAAATTAATGTAAAAATATTTGGTTTTGTTCTATAATTTCCAATAGCTTTTATAAAAGCTACCCAGAAAACATTGGAGTTTTTGTTTGTTTTGTTCTTTTTTTAGCATCATCTTAAAACATTGTTTTTTTCTTTAGAAAAACCATAACTCTACAAAACTCTTGCTTAGTGTTGTAGCTTGAATGTAATTAGCCCCCATAATCTGATAAGGAGCAGCATTATAAGGAGGTATGGCTTTGTTAATGTGGGTATGACCTTGTTGAAGTGTATCACACTTGGGGCGGGCTTTGAGGTTTCCCATGCTCAGGATAACATCCAGTGCTATTGACTTCCTGATGCCTGCAAGATGTAGGCCTCTCAGATATTGCCCCAGTACCACATCTACTGCCTGCCACCACGTTCCTTACCATGAAGATGATGGACTGAATCTCTGAAACTGTAAGCTGTCACCTCAATTAAATATTTTCCTTATGAGGGTTGCCATGGTCATGGTGTATCTTCACAGCAACAGAAACCTACTAAGATACTTAGGTAATTAAAAAAGAATTTCTGTAATGCAAAGTAGCTCATACCCTATGCTAAAAGATCTGAAAGGATTCAAAGTCCCTAGCACAGTGCTTAGTGATGGCATTCCTCTAATTGAACTAGGCAGATAAGACTGAAGAAGGTGACTTTGCATTCAAATGGGAAGACAGAAATGTAAAGTTTCAAGGAATACACATACAAAATTAAAATGATACAACTGAAGTAATAAAATAACATGCTAATAATCAATACCAAATAAATGAAGTTTTATGAATTTCAGAAAAATAATTCAAAATTATTATGTTAAGAAATTTCAATTACCTAAAATAGAAAGCAAGATTGGATTTGTGTGGGTGATCCAAATGCCATAAGAGATGGAGTGAAAGGGTAGACCCATTCATATGAAGGTAACATGCCAATAGATATGTATCTTGCTGAATAGAGAGCATTTTCTTACTAGTATAATAGTAGCTTCCTATTATATCTAAAGCTAAAGGACCACAGAGATTATATGATCCTGATTGAATGTTGTAGCAGGTTATGACATTAATGAATTAAGTTCAAAACTATAGGATGTATTTATCTGACATTTGAACAAATAATCTTAAGTAGAGATTAGGTCCTAAAACTTCTTCTGCAGGAAATGTAAATTAACAGCACTGCGTTCATTCAGGACCTGCAAGGAAGGCCGACTCCCATTAGTCCCTAAATTAAAGAAACCCTAGATCCACCGAAATAAACCTGTTAGAACTAATAAATTAATTTGGAAAGCTTCAAGAGACAAAACCAGCATACCAGTACCATTTTTATAATTAGCATTTAACTGCAAAAATAAATTTTGAAAATATCACTTATACTAGTTGAGAATATAACTTGATGATACAGTATTTTCATAGAGTATGTGAGATCTAATGCTTAATAACACAAAATTATATTTTAATAGCATCAAAAAGATATTTAATGAAAATGAGCACATTTCTCAAAAAAATACATGAGACAGATAAACAGATATATTCAAAGATATCTAATTCAATAATACAAAAACTTCAATCAAAACCACAATGAGATATCATCTTACGCCTTTTAGGAAGTTATATCAAATAGTCAAAAGGTAAGGAGTAATAATAAACGTGGAAAAATAGTATCCTTTTATACTTACTAGTAGAAATGTAATTAGTTATAGCAATAATGGAAAACAATAGAGTTCTTAAAAAATAAAAATGAATCACCAGGGTGTTGCGGAAGGTCCTTCCGCTCCTCCAGCCAATAGCCGCTGAGATACCAGCCCATTGGGGCATGATCTCACTCCCTTTAAAAAAGCGACCACTTCCCTTCTCCCTCTCTCTTACTTCCTACTCTGCTTCCGGCAACTAGACTCCCTTCCTGATTGCACAGAGGGCTGTTGTCTGGGACCGTGATCTGTAAGTTTTTTCCCCTTTAAATAAATAACCATTCTATTAATCATAATTCTAAACTGGTGTGGGATTGTTTTTGACTTACGCCTTCACCAGATGACTTAACAATTTGCCTTCTGATATAATCTAAAGGAAATTAAATCACTATCTCAAAAAATATTTAGTCTTCTCAGTCCAGTGACACATTCTTCATAACAGGAAAGATAAAAAAAATAATGGAAAGTTTGTCAAGTGGCTAATGAAATGGCTCAGTCAGTAAAGTACTTGCCACGCAGCATGAAAACCTAAGCTTGATCCTAGAACTCAAAAAGCTAGGTGTGGAGTCGTGTGCTTACAATTCCAGCACTGGGGAAGCAGACACAGGTGGATCCAGAGCATGCTGTCCTGTTGCCTTTGCCTAAATGGTGAACCCTTGGTCTCAATGAGAGACCTTGTCTTAAAAAATAAGGTAGATAGCTGCATTGGAATATTCAGGTCTTGCTGTTATAAGAGACCTGGGATAATTCCTAATGATAATCTGCTATACTCACAGATTGGAGCATAACCCAACTGTCATCAAAGAGGTTTCATCCAGCAACTAATAGAAACAGACGCAGAGAACAACAGCCATACATTAAGCAGAGCTCTGGGAATCGTATGGAAGAAGGGGAAGAAGGATTGTAGGAGCCAATGGTCAAGGACACCACAAGAAAATCCACAGATTCAACTAACCTGGGCTCATAAAGGCTCACAGAGACTAAACCAACAACCAGGGAGCCTGCATGGAACTGACCTAGGCCCTCTGCATATATGTTACAGTTGTTTAACTTGGTCTTCTTGTGGGACTCTTAACAATGGGAGCATGGGCCATCTCTGACTCTGTTGCCTGCTTTTAAGATCCTTTCCTCCTACTGGATTGCCTCATGCAGCCTTAATAAGAGAGGAGATGCCTAGGCTCACTGCAATGTGATATACCATGGGTGGTTGATATCCATGGAAGGCCTGTACTTTTCTACAGAGAAACAGGAGGAAGAGTAGATGGAGGGAGGAAGAGTGGAAGGGGAAGCAACTGGGAGGAAAGAAGAAAGGGAAATTGTGATTGGGATGTAAAAACAAAATAAATGAATGAATGAGTGAATGAGTAAGTAAGCAAGTAAGTAAAACTATTGCTCCTAAAAAGCAATACAAGAGTTTGACCTCTAGCCCCACAGTCACACACATGCACATGCATTTTTATATACACACCCACCCCACTCACATACACACACAGAGAGAGAGAGAGAGAGAGAGAGAGAGAGAGAGAGAGAGAGAGAGAGGTCAAGAAATGAATAAAGAGAATGTAGTGTATATATATTAACAGAATTTTACAGCAATACCACTCTTGGGAATATACCCAAGAGATGCCCTATCATATGACAAAAGCATTTGTTCAACTATGTTCATAGCAGTATTATTTGTAATAGCCAGAACCTGGAAACAACCTAGATGCCCTTCAATGGAAGAATGGATGAAGAAAGTGTGGAATATATA